GGGAGCAGCGGGCGGCAGGAGAGGTCTGCGCACCATGTGGGACCCTCCTCCGGTGGCCGGGGAGCAGCCGGGGATCGAACCGGTGCCGCAAAGGCCACGGGCAGCTTCGCAACCCAGCGCTCAACCGCTGCGCCACCGGGGAGGCCCTTCTGCAGGTTCTTTTTCCAAATAAGGTCACATTCTTCATAGGTTTTAGGGGTTAGGAAGTGGGTATATCTTTGGGGAGGGGGTTACCATTTATCCCACTACAGGGACAGCCCGTATAGACAGACAGACAGACAGACACAGACACACACACTCACACACAATAAAAAAACAAAGCTGTGCATATCCAAGACACAGAGTAGGGATCTTGGAGCTTTACCCAACATCATCCTCCTCGTTCAGATCTCATCGGTGCTTCTGAGCCATTACTGCGGAACCCCTTGGTCTTCCAGGGACACACTTTGAGAACCATTGTCCTAGTGAAAGACCAAAGCCCTTAGGGAATTCTTGAGGTGTGAACCCACTCACCTAGTGTCTCTCTCAACATGCCCATGTGAGCAGTACCCAGTGACCACAGACAGTATGTACTTATTGAGCAATACCCTTTTAGTGACCGACTTTAGATTTTATGTTGAAGTGTTACTCGGGTTAAATATAAAATTCATAGCATATCTTGAGCAACTATTTTGTAGTTATCTATATATAAATCTACTTTACAGCGACACAAATAGAATAGATTATGGAGTGTCAGCATGTAGATAGATTCCGAGTGCTTTTTCACTAATATACCTAATGATTCGTGCTGAGAATATCCAAGGGCTTCACTGTACATTTAAATGGATATAATTAAAATAATGAGCTCTATTTTAAAAAATGATATATGAAAAAAAATTTTAAAGGAGTTAGAAGGAGCTGCACTACTAATTCAAAGTGATATAAGTACTTCTGCGATTCCATTGTTATTAGGACACCTAATTAAATGCAAAGCGCCTGAGAAAAGCAACATTTGGGCTTGTAAATCTAAAGCAAGAAACCAGGGGAGAGAAGTTGCCATGTCCTCAGCTCTGCGAGGGCTTGGGGATGTCATATGGAAACGAGTGGATGGTGGGGTGGCGTCGTTGTGCGTGTGGGTGTGAGGGTGACTCACGGGGCTCCCATGCTCTGTGGGCTGGTGGGAGTGGTCAGGCTGGTCAGGCCCTGCAGCTGTATTTGCAAGCATAGCCTCTGATCTTTTGGGGGTGACCGGGGGAAAAGAGTAAGAAGAGTCTGCCTCCTATGGGAAGAAGCCATTTCTCCCCACCTCAGTGATTTGGGTACTTTAAGTGACCTGTGACTGCTGGTTCCTTGGAAAGGACAAGAGATGAGGAATTGGGAGAGGTGGCTTTTGGTCCTGGCTGTGCTACGCCTTTGGGAGTCTTTCTTGTGACATGATACACTCATGCCCAGGCTTGCTGAGAATGGGTGAGCATCTGGTTTACTAACTCACCTTGAGGATGCACAGGGGGCTGAAGTCTCAGTGCTCACTTACCAGGAGGAGGTAATCATTCAGTCATTCAACAAACACTACTTCTTGAGCATCTGCTGTGTGCCTACTGGGTGCTGGGGATGCAGCTGTGCACAAAGCTGCCAAGGGCTCCATCTGTTCGTTTTTTTAAAAAAAAAGATTTATTTATTTATACATACAAGAACTGAGGCACAGGCCAGAGGCGTGGGGGGTGAGAGGATTCACCAGAGACAGAGTGGGGAACAGAACAGGCAGATTGACTGAAATACACTGCTGAGGGGAGCAGTGGGCGAGTCAGGAGAGGTCTGCTGTGCCATGTGGGTAGTTCCCCGGCCGGGGATCGAATTTTGTGCCGCATTGGCTGCGGTGAGCTTCATAGGTTGCGTCTTAACCTATTGAGCCACCAGGGAGGCCCCTTCATCTGTTCTTAAGAGTCAATAAATAAGACAAGATATTTTCAGATGGCAGCTAGGGATGCAAAGGAAATAGAACATGGCAGTGAACCAAGAGCTAGACTGAGAGTCAGACAGGGTGTGAAGATTGAGGCTCAGAGCAGTGAAGCCACTTGTGCAGGAACCCATAACTTGAGTGGTGGTTCTGTGACTTGACTGGGAATGGTCCAACTTGAGAACCTGGTCTTCTTCATCACAACCCATTCTCCCCAGGCCACCAGCTCGCCTCTACTCCAGGGCATCTGATGCCAGGGAGCTTTCCCCACCCCCACCCCAGGAACATCCCCTTCTGTTGCTGCCTGACAGGTATATCCTCCCTTTCTAGAGTCTAGCTGTCCCCTTGTAACGTCTCAGCCCTGCTGGTCCTACTTGTGCTCCTGGGGCCTTATCGAACTTAGAGGAGCTTCTGCCATGGCTTGGCTGCCATGATATCCCTTTGGGACCTTAGCAAGGGGGGCTCTAACTCAGGATTCCCCCCACCTTCCACCATGGAGGCAGCAGCAGCCAGAAAAGCAGGAAGCCTCCCATCTTCCCTCTCACTCCACTAACACCTCACTTCTGACCTCTCTGGATGTGCTGAAGGTCAGGAGTGGGTAATACAGGAGCTGCCGCAGGTGCCAATGGACAAGCCTCCCTCTCAGAGTTCCTCTCCTGGTCTAGATGCACTGGGATGAGAGCCAGGGCGCCTGCATCAAAGCTTGGTTCTACCTTTTACTAAACCCATGTGACTCATTGGAAGTTCTTTCACCACGTAGTACCTCAGTTTCCTCATCGTAAAATGGAGGTTCCATCAGAAATTTCCTCATAGGGTGCTACTGAGGATGAAAAGTGCATTAGAACAGTTCTTGGCTCATAGGAAATGCTCAGTTTTTCTTAACAAAATAAAAGAATTGAATGCTGAGTGATTGAGTCATCCTGTTTTATGTTTCCCACTGCAGAGTAGGGCAAAAGCTTAGATGAGGCCAGACGATGGCCCCGCCGTGGCAGACACACTAGGAGGAGGCACTGCTGGGTGCTGATGACCCTCTAACAGCTTGTTCTCATTAATCATGGTGTTGGCGAGGGTGTCTTGGGAGCAGCCACAGGCCAGCCACAGTGCTAACAAGTTTCATCAGTTAGTTGATTGACATCTGTGTGACAACCCCGCTTGGTCCATCTTGCAGATGGGAAATTGAGGCTGAGAGTCAGGTAGTATCTGTCTCAAGTTATATGGCAAGGAGCTGGCTGTTGTTTCTTCAAGACCACAGTCCTATCAAAGTAGGGCCCACCCTTAGGAACTCACTTAATATGGATTGCCTTCCAGAGGCGATCTGGAGACTGTGTCTAGATACAGTCACATTGGAGATTAGGACTTCACCATATGACTTGGGGAAGGGGTTGGGGAGATATAGTTCAATCCATTCAGTCCATAGTGTCTCCCCGTGGCCTCAAACCCCCCCCCCCCCTCCTTAGCTATAGTTTTTCTTCTCTGTTTTCTCAGTTCTCTAACCTGGGAGAAAACTGAGAACTGGGAGGGACAAACAATGTAATAAAAACCCACATTCTTGTGACAGAAGTGACTGCCAAAGACCAGAGAGGAACAGTGTCTTCCCCAAAGTCACCCAGCAAACCCATTGCAGATCTGGGATCAGAACCCAGTACCTGCCTCATCCCAGCCCGACACCGCCACTAAGCTCCAATCCAAAGGCCTTCATGGGATCTGCCTCCAGCCCTCGAAAGTCACAGTCCGGATGTGTCTCTGGAACAGTGAAGAGGGCAGGACGTGGCCAGGGCAGCCTCCCAGCCTCCCTGAACCTGGAACAGGACTGGGGTTCCCAGGGTGTGAGCCTGCCTTGACTTTCCCTTTTCAGAAGCAGGAGTCAGGGTGATGACCCCCTGCCAGAAGAATGGGGGGCCTTACAGTAACACGGAGTCACATTGAAAACAAAATGGTGCAGGAGTGGCTGCAGTGCCCTGGCTTTGTTCCTGGGTCAGCCACCAAGTCAGTGAGTGGCTCAGGCAACACACAGCTCCCCTCTGGGGCTCAGTGTCCCCCTCGTTAAAAAGATTCAGCAGCAGATGCCTGGCCCATCTCAATATTGAGCTCATTACCTTGAGGATGTTTTCTGACATTTGAAGAGCCACCTCGATGCCAGACTGTTGGGGGCCAAGCGCTGGCTCCGTGACATCTCAACCGCTTAAGTGAGCCTTTCTGGCTTGTAGCTCCCCGTCTGTAGAACAGGAGCGGCGAAGAGCTTGGATGCAAACTCTAGTGCTTCTGCCAAGGCGCAAAGGGAACAGCACTAGATACTTTGCACACTTCCAACCACTTAAACTCTTGCTGTTCAACGTGCCGATTGAGGACCAGCACACGGGCTGCAAGTGGGCGTTTGCTGCACATGTAGAGTCTCAGGCTAAGCCCCAGGCCTACTCCCCTGCAGTCTGCATTTCACGAAGTTTCTCAGCCAATTTATGTACACATTGAAGCTTGGGAAAAAATGCTCTTGTAGGTCTCTTGTAGCTACATTTACAAGGATTTACTGGGTACCTTCAGACCCCTAGACCCCAGCTTCCACATCTGTAAAATGGGTGGAGCTGGAGGCATAGTAGCTCAGTGGTGTTTATTTACATTATTTTTTTAGATTTATTTTTTTATGTATACAAGAAGAACCGAGGTATAGGCCAGAGGTGGGGGGAGTGAGAGGGTCCACCAAAGACAGAGTGGGGAACAGAACAGGCAGATTGACTGAAATACACTGCTGGGGGGAGCAGTGGGTGAGTCAGGAGAGGTCTGCTGCGCCATGTGGGTAGCTCCCTGACCGGCCGGGGATCGAACTCGTGCTACGGTGGCTGGATAGCTTCATAGGTTGCATCTTAACCTCTTGCGCCACCAAGGAGGCATCCTAGCTCAGTGGTTTTTAAACTGATCCTTGGAACCCCAGGGTAGATTGGGGTGCCGTGGACATGTAAGACGTGGATCTGAAGCTATACATGAGGCCACCTCTTGGGCTGGCAGGGGCTCTCAGCTAGGTTGGGGGTGGTATGGGGTTCTCTTCTGAGCGGAATCTCATCTTCCTCAGGGAGCGCTTGAAGCGCAGCCAGAAGAGCACCAAGGTGGAGGGGCCAGAGCCTGCGCCGGCTGAGGGCTCACTGAGCGCCGAGCAGGGAACCATGACGGAGGTGAAGGTCAAGACAGAGCTGCCAGACGACTACATCCAGGAGGTGATCTGGCAGGGCGAGGCTAAGGAGGAGAAGAAGGCGGTCGGCAAGGATGGGGCTGGAGACGTGCCTGCTGAGATCTGTGTGGTGATCGGTGGAGTCCGCAACCAGCAGACCCTCGGTGAGTACCCACCTGTGAGGCTGGGACCCTGCCCAGGGCAGGAACATGGGCTGCAGACCTGGGGAGAAGAGACCTGGGCTCTTGCCCCTCTCTGGCTGAGGGAGCCTCCGGAGGCCGCCCTCTGCCCTCAGGGAGAGGTGGACAGTTCTAGTCTTGAGCTCTGTTCTTTACACTTGACCTGACAAAATCCTCCCCAGTCTTTAAAAAGGTCTTGGTTTAAATCAGATGCTTGGAACTTTCCACAGGCCCAGTGGGGTCCCTCATGCTGTGGGGCTCTCTTCCCAGTTGGGTCTAGAATGGCCCGTAGGGCCTAACCGGGGGCTCCCGGTCAGGATGGCATCAGGGCAGATTGCCACCTCCCATAGCTGCTCCTGGTCTAGCCAGGCTCAGAGGAGCTCTGTAAAAATGAGCCCCTTAGAAATCACTTCTCCCCTCACTTTGCAGCTGAGCCGGTGGGCCCCCTTCAGGAGCCGCCTGCGTTCCTGCCAGGTTCACAGACTCAATGTCTACAAGGCCCAGCAGATACATTTACTTAGCATAAGTAGAGATGAGCCAAACAGACAGGTGGTGGGGACTGTGTCCAGCTGGAGAGTCCACACTCACATACAGCACGGGCCGCTACTCCGCCGCCACTAACAGTAACGAGTGGGGAGATGGGCTCGCATCTCCCCATCTCTGGACAAACCACATGCCAGAAGCGAGGATTTTGATGTGAATTCTTTTGGCTTTAAATATTGGCAGTGAATTCAGCTTTTCAAATCTGCCAAACTAAACATCTGCGGGTCAGCTGTCATTTCATGGGCCATAAGTTTGCAACCCCTGGTCTGTAAAATAAAGCCTGTGTTCCTCAGCCTGGCATCAGGGCTTGCCCAGCATGGTCCCGGACCTCATTTTCATCCTCACCCTCCTACTCCTCATTCCTGTGCTCACTGCCACCCCTGTCCTTCCTTGCCCAGCTCTCACTCCCCTCTTCTGGACTTCTAGGTGCACTTCCTGTGTGTGGCACGCAGGGGTCTCATGCGCAGATTCCTCTGCATCTGTCTCCCCAGATTTAGACTCAAGTGTTATTGTCATTTCTCTCCAACTCTGGGAACCAGCCTCCTGCTCCTTTTCCCAGCTGTTCCTGTGCTGGTTGTGGCCTTACCAGCCCACCTGGGTCATTCATTGCAGCATCCCCTAATGGCCATGCCTGTGCCTCTCACTGCCCGCACTACTTTCCACTCTGGCTGCCAGAGGCCAGGCAAAACAAAGTACTGACCATGTTGTCCTCTGCTTATATACTTGGGATTTCATGTTGTGTCTCAGGTCAAGACCAGAGCATCAAGATCCTCCATAATCTGAGTTTTTCTTTCTTTTTTTTTTCTGATCTGATCTTCCAGACCTTTCATTCCAGCACAGTCTGCTTTTCTAAAACATTTCCCACCCTTTTGTTCATGTTATTCCCTGTACCCTGAAGGCCTGTCCCCATTTCCACATGCTTAAATCCAACCCATCCTTCAAGACCAGTTCCACTGCCACCTCCTCCTGGACACCCTCCTTCATTTTTTCTGATCAGATTTTGGTTGATCTACCCAGCGCCTCACTTGGGCACTTCCCACACTATTTACTTTAAGGGTTTTTTTTTTTTGTGTGTGGGACCCTCGCCTATGGCCTGGGAACAAACTGGTGCTGCAGAGGCTGCGGGCAGCCTCGCAGCCCAGTAATCAACCACTGTGCCACCAGGGGAGGCCCCCACTATTTACTTTAAATTAGAGTGTCCCTACCTGTGTGTGTGTCTGCCATGAACTTGGGAGCTCCTGGAAATTAGAGGTACAAGACCTGTCAGATCTATGTCTCTATGCTCCCCACCCCCATGCACGAGATCTAAGGACATACTGATTTCTAGGAAGCAGGGTTGACAATTGGGCTCTGTCAGGTTGGGGCTAAGTTTTGCTACAGTAACAAAAGCTTGTAATGTAACGAGATCTTGGTAGCTGAAAACCACAAAGGTTTTCTTATTTTTAGTCATACTCCCATTGCGGATCATTTAGGGGCTCTGCTCTGGACCCAGGCCTAAAACCTGCATTCTCTGGAATATTGCCAACCAGGTGACAGAGGGAAACACAAGGAGGGAGTCCCATTGACAGTTACCTGCTCCAGCCTAGAAGTGAGGCGTGTCGATTCCCCTCACAGGCATTGGCCAGGACTGTCTACCTGGACAGCCTCCCTAAGGTTAGACTACCCAACCTTAGGGAGACCTGGAAATGCCATCCTTCTATGTGACAGAAATGTGTGGTGAGCACATGAGTGATTTAGCTGAATGAAAGAAGGGTCTTCAAGGTCCTCAGTATAAACCCCCCCCATCAGTATTCACTCCTGAATGTGTTAGCCTTAGTGGGTGTGCTGTGTAACCTGAGGCGAGGACGTGCCCCTGCTCACTTCAGGAGCTATGTTCTAAGTCTCAGTGGGCCCACTAGCTAGTTATGCCCTTCACCAGGAGATGCCCAGTGAAGGGTAGTTGAATCTGAATCTTGGGATGGAGCCAGCAGTCTGGATTTGGCTGGGAAGGTCAGAGAAACTGGGCTAGGGGAGTCTTTCCCGGGCCAGCTGCCTGCACAGTAAGAGGCCCGGGGCCCTTGAGCCCTCATGTCAGCCACCGGTGCTCCTTTCCAGTTCAGCTGCTGCTCAGCAGCGGGGTCCTTGGCCTCACTGCTTAAATCCACCCCATCCTGCAAGGCCATTTCCATTGCCACCTCCTTAGTGCCATCTTCTGTTGGACAAGGCATGCTCCCTGTCCTGGCCACCTCTTGGGTGTGGGGATGGAAAGGGTAGCAGAAAGGAATGAGGAGAAGGAGCTGGGCTTCTCGGGCTTGAGTGAACCCAGGCCCTGTGATGTAGTAGCTGTTGTACCTTGGGCAAACTACTGAACTTCTCTGTGCCTTACTTCTCACAATTGCAAATTCAGGGCTTAGTGAAGCTTTGATAAGAAAACGCATGTGAAGCGCTCAGCATTGTGTTTGGTAATGTATTAGCTGTTAATGGCAGTGATAGTACTAGTGTTAATGGTATTAAGTGTCTCTTCAAGAGGAAGCAGCAGTAGTAGTTTGTGCTTTTTTTTCAAAGACTAAGAATAAATCTGAGTGATTGAAGAAAAAGTGGGATGGGGAAGGAAGTTGGCACAGGTGAGATGTCAAAAGACATGAGTTCTAACCGGGCCTTAGTTTTCTTATCTGAAAACAGGATAGGCTACCTGTCCAGTTCTTCGAGTGCCACTGAGACGGCCTCCTGGAATTCAGGTCATGTGTCTTGTGCAGTACTGACTGACCTGCTTCTGGCAGACCCTCATGGAAGAAGTGTAAAGCCACTTTGTGGCTTTATAAAGCCAGTGTAAAGACTCGAAACCCTGCCGAACCATGCCCAGGGCGTTTCCCTGCTGGCTTTGGCTTTTCCTCTTATCCCTCAGGGCTGACTTTTCTCCTTGGCACCAAAGGCCAGGCTCAGAGGAACCTACCTTCATCTCAGCACCAGGAAAGAAAGATTTAAAAAAAATAAATCAATGTCAGAACAAAAATTTTTAAAATCCGCTAGCCCCAAGATGCAAGAACCTTTTTCTCTTGTGGGCCAAGTCCAAGTATTTGCTGCTGGCTGGTAGGAGTTCTGCATTGAAGATTCTAAAGGGGGTGTGATTGCTTATTGATGTCTGCTGTGGTTGTGGACTTGTGGCTTCACATAGATCTGACACCCCTGAACCCCCATTTTATAGAGGGGCAAATCAAGGCCTGTGGTAAGGAAGAGAGTTATCAGGGTCACACAGCAAGTTGGTCACTTTCCCTTCTGCTTCACAGAGACCCTACTCCATTCACAGGCCCCCTTATTCCCACACCCCAAAAGGAGGGGAAGCTCTTTCAGGGACCTGTCAGGGGCCAGAATGCCAGTGAGAGCCATCCTTTTAAATTAGCTTGTTTCACAGTGTGCATCTCTGCCCTGCGGTCATGGAGGAGTTAATGTATGACCCAGGCACTTGGCAGGGCATTGGGGAGCTAGCAGTGGGGAGCAGGAGGGTTGTGGAGTCAGCACAGGACCTCCTGAGTCCGGAGTGCTCAGCTCCACCAGCCAGTCTCGGGTTCCATTGCTGAATAGAATAGCACGCCTGTTCGCCCACTCCATGCTACGCCATTTGCCTTTTCTCTGAACTCCATCCCCCTTGACTTGCCCTGCTCCCCCGCCCCTCATCCTTAGGCAAGTCATCAGGCAAACAGTGCTCCCAATGACAAACATTATCCAAGGCACTTCCCATGGTGGAGCCTGGGTCACAGACGCATGCATGGCACTTGGCAGCTTCTCAGGGAGAGTCGGGAGGGGCATCAGTGCCCAGGACCCAGGCTGCCAAGCTCGCTGTGGTGGCTGCTGTTGCCTTGCTGCCCAGGAATTCCTGTGCCAAGAAGGGACTTTCACTCTTAGAAAGAACATTGCTGCCACTGGAACCACTTTAGGGCTGGGGGCGAGACCCTTGGTTTCTTAGTAAAAAGAGCAGAGATAGGGACTTCCCTGGTGGCGCACAGGATTAAGACGCAACCTGTGAAGCTGTCCACAGCCACTGCTGCATGAGTTTAATCCCCGGCCGGCCAGGGACCAACCCACATGGCGCAGCAGACTTCTCCTGTCTCACCCACTGCTCCCCTCAGCAGTGTACTTGGGTCAGTCTGCCTGTTCTGTTCCCCACTCTGTCTCTGGTGAATCCTCTCACCCCCCACACCTCTGGCCTGTATCCCAGTTCTCGTATGCATAAATAAATCTTAAAAAAAAAAAAAGCAGATGATAAGAGATGATACTTACCACTACTTTGTGGGATACAACCAGAGCGATGGAAGTGAATTAGCAAATGGCTGCTCCCGCCTGGCGAGTTGTACACTGCACTCTCCATGGCAGCCCTGAGAAGTGACACAGCTACACCGGAGGCTTTGGAGGCTTCAGAGCTCCACTGCCTTGGCTCCTCCCCAGGTAAGCTCAGTGTGCGCTTACCCAGCAGTGTACCTCAGACACCTCAACACAGGGCACCCAGGAAATCACTGTCAGCCAGAACTGAAAAATCTGCCAGCCTTGTTCTAGGTGGAAGATGAGGCCAGCTGCGTTTTCAACTGCTGGGATGTCCAGCCCATGGAGCAGGTCCTGGTTCTGGGAGATAAGGACACCCGGATCCTAGCCTGGGGTCAGATGTCCTGCTAAGCAGTGGGTGCTCCTCCCTGTGCCCTGAGACTCTTCACCCAGGTTACATGTGAGGAAGCCCAGGGAGAGCCACTGGAACCCAGAGGCCTGGGACCAGGCTCCCCGGTGGTGGCGCAGGGCCTGATGGAGGGAGCAAGTGGCCCAGCCGGGCTGCTCTTCACATGAGGAATATTGAGCTACCAGATTTTTTTGCTGGGAGTTAACTGTTAGTCAACTAAGAGTGGGGGTGAGTCCTGTGGAAGAACTAAGCGCTGTTTTTCTGGGGAGAGGAGACTGGGGGTAGGTGTGGGCAGAGGAGATGGATAGACTCTAAGATGATGGAGCATTTTGGTGGGGGATGTAGTGGACACTTCCAGAGTCACCCCAGGCAATATAGAAAAGTCACCAGGAGGTGTTTCAACTAGTAAGAAGAAAGACTTTGAGATCATGGAACTGTCTGGAACCCGGATCTAGGCCTGTGAGGGAGTGACTTTCCGTCTCAGAGATGGGTGAGCAGAGAGGGTCACTACATCGGGTGCCAGGAGGAAGAGTCAGGGCTCATGTAGGAGACTGGATCCCACAAGGACGTTTCAAGGCAGTGAGCTTTGAGCACCGAGGGGTGGAGGTGTTTCCACACACGAGGGCTGCCCGGGAAGGAGGAACTCAGCCAGAGGCGGCGTGGGCCACAGCTCTGGAAGGAGCTGCAGAAGAGGAGACAGCCTTTTAGCCACGGCCACGTGGGTTTTGGTCTGTGACAAACCCGGGCCGAGAAGGTGCCAGCGCCTGCTTCATACTGCCAGCTGATAGTTAGTTTCCTCTTTCAATAGGTTGTTGGCAGGGCTTTGCGCCTGAGCCTGCCAGAACCAACACTCAGGTTCTTTGCTGCAGCCACTAGGAAAGGGGGGTTCTGGCCACCACCCAGGCACATCTTTTCTCCGTCTCTCACCCCTTTTTTGGTGGCCCGAGGAAAGGGTCCTGACTGGAGTGTCCCCATCGGAGAAGGCTCGTGGGCTGTAAACCAGGAGACTGGGGTCTTCCCGCTGTGGAACTTTGAACAGGCCCCTTAACCTCTCTGAGCCATACTAACTTCATCAATCAGCAGGTATGAAAGAATCTGCTGTAGGACAGTTGGGGACAGAGGGAAGTAATGGGGATCAAATTGTCTGTAAGGGACAGAACATACTAAACAGCTACCACTGGTATTAGGGTGTTGCTATATCTGGGGTTATCTCTGCAGTGTCAGAAACCCTGAAAGGCCACCAGCTGCAAACTTTTTTTTGGCTCTGTACCTCCTAAAGGAGTTTCAAGAAATTCGTTCATACCCAACATTTAAATCACTGCAAAGGGTATAATGTATTGAGTATTGTAGGAAAAAGTGGCATTTTAGAAATAAAACTGTGAACTCCTTTAAATGAATCCAAAAGCCATCCACTGCTCTTTGAGCTTCGTTGTCATCCATTTTTAAGACACACGGACAAGCTCATCTTTAACAGTCAGAAATTTTACGTCTTTCCTTTTTCTCCTTGAACTCTTATTTCTGGTCCACTTCCCTTGTAGGATTTTATCCTAATGTAATATATTTTTTAATGCTTGAGAGTCTTTTATTGATCACTGTTTCACACTCATCACCCACAACAAGATGTGCGTAAATTGAAATAGAAATTTCTAAAAAATTCATTGGGCTCGTAAAGCGCTACGTTTTAAGACATTTTTTTCCAAATTGAGTTATTATTAGCATAGACTTGTCAAAAACAAATTTAGATAAATAGTACATGTAAAAGTAAAAAATTATTGAAAATGCACCTCTTAATGAAATGAATGGGGTTTTCTGTCTTTTTCAGTTGGCTCACGTAGCAGTGAATTAATATTTCTTGTTATTGAATGAGACAAAATTCAGCATTAATTTAATTCCTGTTTCTCAGTTTTCATAAGTGTAAGTACCTAGAAAGCTTGATCACATATATAAGGAGCCAGGGACGGATGGAGTTTTGTTTTGTTTTAGCAGTCACTCAAGCTTTTGAACTCCTTCCAAGTTGTATTGCCAAAAATCGCACTGGGGGTCTATCATCAGACATTATTTTTAATGGCTTCTTCACTGACAACTCCATTAGACCCTCCTTCAGTTTCCTTGAGCACAAAGAATTAGAAATCACCAGGTTTGCAAAAGGAGCTGGTTTCTAGTCATTGGATCCATCCATTTTCTAAATACATGTTTTACATCTTTGCTTGGAGTCCTGAGGTGGTCGTTCCTTTCGAAGGGGGTATTCTGTTCCTAAATGTGGGAGGGAGGAGAGGAGAAATGGAAGGGAGAACTAGAGGAGGGTTCCTTCCCACCCGCCACAGTCTCCAGGCATACTGATTTTAGAAAAGAAAAGTTTGGAAATTGATGACTGGGAAATTGATGTTCTTAATACTGTCTTTGCTCACATATTCTAGATTTGTGCTCCATTGGAAAACCCTCATCCTGAGGATATTTGGTCTGAGTCTAGGCCCTAGAGAGCCTCAGAAAGCTACTTATCCATGACTTACATCTCCAGGTTCCCCTGTTCCCCCAGTTCCTGTTGCATCTTATCATCAAGCGGACTGATACTCAGCAGCTTTTGATCTGTGAACACAGCTTCTGTGCAGCTCTGAGCTAATACAGGGTGCCTGTTGTAAGGAGACATCATTCTCTGGCCCATCTCCCTCCCACCCCCCACTCTCCACAGGCAGCCTCCCTGCCTTGCATATTTCTTCTCTCATTCACCAGTAATTGTTGTATTTTATGTATCCTGAAAGGCGACTTAGCTTATCTGGAGCTGCTGGGTGTGAGTGGAGGGCTTGACCCCATTCTCGTCCTTAAGGGACAGCCTCCTCTGCTCCCTCTGCACCACTGTTCCCTCCCCTGGCCTCAGCAGCTAGGCCCACCTGGTCTCAGCTGGCCTTACCTGGCCTTGCTAGAGCTCTCAGGGAGGGAGCTGAGCCAGGCTCCCTGCCAGGTGGTTAGGGAACCTGCTAGACTGCTAAGCAGTGCCTGTGCCACCAGTGACAGCAGGAAGGGGGAAGCCTTGGCGCCCATGTGCTGGTGTGCCCTGCCAGCTGTCCCTGGCATCTGCTCGCGGTACTCTTAATAGGGGATGCTTGGGAGTCCTGCTGTGGTACCAGACGTGGTAGAGGGGAGCCCCAGGACTGACGAGGACCCACAGCTCCCTTGGCACACATGACCTGGCATGGTGGCAGTAGAATGGCACCACAGCCCTAAAGATCAGGTCTGGGCCCACTTCCTTGCCAGCTACTTGCTGGGTAGCCCAGGTTTGGGCTACCTGGTCTCTAGAACTCTCAAGCTCATTGTCAAAGTGGCAGTTGAGTTGTCCCAACCACATGAGGACTTCTGGAAGACAGAGGACAGACATGAGACCTGAGTGTGCTCTGTAAATGGTAAATGTTAAATGTTAACAGTCACCATCTCCCGGATGCTTTCCAGAGGCTGATTGTGAGCTTACCCTTAATGTCTCTGGATCAAGACAGACCTTAGGCCCCCTCTGGCCCTGTGTGCCGGTCCTCACTTCCCTCATCTAAGAAATAGGGCTGATAATCACCTTTGTCCTCTGGGCTGATGAGGATGAACTGAGCTGGTATTCTAGAAGCCCTTGAGTCCAGACTCCACTCCCACTACTTGGTCATGTGAAATGGACATGGTGCTCACATCTGGCACCTTCTCTTCCTTACCTGTACAGTAGGGGCAGAGGCCAGGCCCATGTGGAGATTTTGGAGCCGGGCAGTGAAATGAATCACAGCACTTAGTAGGCAGGGAGTGACAAAAGGACAAAGGACAAAAGGACAGTTGGGCAACCCAGCAGAGTGAGGACTGTGCCGGTCAGGAAGTCAGGCACCAGGCACAGGGTCTGTCTGGGCCAAGAGTTCCTGAGAAGGCTCTCCAGACCCCACTGTCCCAACTCCGGCGTGCAAGGAACACAGCACACACCTCCTCCCTGTAGGGTCATTTTTGCTGGAAGGATTTGGGAAGAAATTTTATAAGCATAGTATGGATAATTTTATGTTACATCCACAAGGAAAGTCCAAATACAGAGAAAATGCGCAACTTCAGGGGAGGTTTTTGGGCCTGTAGCTGCTGCATTTTGCCATACCCCAGCCCCCAAGGAACTCCTGGGCCCTCCTTGGCCAGCTCAAATTCTAGTGAAAAAGTAGACAAGCCTCGGCGTGCAGATGGGGAGACAAAGGCCCAGAAAACTCAGGTTACTGGCCAACCCTAGACTCAGAGCCCCTCCTTACTTGGCCCCATCCCCAGCCTCCCAGGCACTCCCCAACTTTAAGGGCTCTTTCTGATTTCTTACGTAATTCAGATGGAAAAGCGCCCGAAGGCAGCCCCCACCGTGGATCTGTGCGAAGCCGCTATTCAGGGACCTGGATTTTTGACCAAGCGTTGAGATATGCATCTGGTACGTGATGGCCGAGGGGCAGGACCTGATGGGCCAGCAGGAGGGTGGGGGCAACGTACCATCAGCTATGGGAGCGACTGAAGGGTCGCCCTCCCCAAAACCCCGTCACTGTTATGTGTTGCCAAATCTGAGCCTGCCTGGGACCCTGAAAGACAGTTGCTGGAGGATGGAACATGTGGAAACCTAGAATGTGGGGAGCCATTCAGCAGTGCTTCCCATGGCCACCCATCTGTGAAACAACCAAGGGGGTAAAGGAGTTCCTTGGCCACATTTGTTGGGAGCCCTGGGGTTAGACAGTCAGCTGCATTCCTTTACTGCAGGCTTCTCCCAGCAGCTCCTGCTGCTGTGCCTCCCAGGTCAGGGCACCAACAGGTCTTCTTCCCACGTGCTCAGCCTGGACCTGTCTCTCACTGGACCTGCCTTCAGGAAATTGGGTTCCAGAGAACTTGAGGAAATGCTGGAGGTCACGGCAATTATCATGTGCCAGGCGCTGTGCTAAGTCTCCCCACAGTGTTAGTGCTCACAACCCCCCTCAGGTATGTCCAATTCATGGGGCGCAGCCTGGGATGTGGCTGGATCCAGGACTTGGCCAGGGTCCCTGACTGCTACTTGATGAGCAGGATTTGAGCCCAGGTTTGCTGGCACCACAGCAAGCCCAAGCCCCGTGACCCATCCCCCACATCTCAGCCCATCTAGCCCCTTCTGCGGACAGGGCACCCAATACCAGGGTCTTGGGGAGAATGGAGGGTGGGCAGTTACCTGTCTTCAGGTATCCCTTTTGCCAGCAAACAGGCTGGTCCTGAGACTCTGTGAGCCAGGCAGGGCTCCATTCTGCCCTGGGGCCGGGAGAGGGCCTGAGGCTGACACATTGTGTGTCTCTTCTCCTCTCCCCTCCCAAATGGAGTGAGACCTCTGAACAAGACTATTGGTTGAGGTTGAATCCCATAAAATCTGCTTTCACTGCTTATAGCTGGGTGAGGTATCAGCCAAATTGGCGCGGGGCCGGCACCCACCATAGCCTGCGGGCTCTGCCCATCACTCTGCAGTTACTGTCAGTTTCCGAGAAAACCTTAGGCCATTGACTGCACTGGGGAATTAAGCCCGGGCCTCCTGACAGAGACAGAGCTGGGGCTCAGTCACCTCATCTATGAGTGGGGCACGGCTGGGCAGTTCTCCCCTGTTACAGGCTGTGGCCCCCGGCCTTTGGGAAGATGCTGCATCTTCCCTGGGGGCGGCTTCCCCTCCATCTTCCCAGCTAACACTTTTCTCACCTCTAAGACTTGGCCCCCTCTTCTTTCCTCTCCTCCAGCCTGCATCTGAGTCAGGGTCCGCACTGTGCCCACCTGCCCTGGGCTTCCCTCTGCCAGCTCTGCCATCCTGTATGACAACATTAAATATGTTTCCTTGCCGGGGGGCCGTCCACTTTACACCCGGCGGAGGGCAACCAGGGTGTTTTCTGAAAGGTCGGGGCCTCCGTGGCTGGCGTGTTGAAGATGCTCAGTAAATTCTGGGCTGCTTGAAGGGGAATTGGCAGAAACTGTTGAAGAGCGGGTGGAGGCACAGCAAGGGAGTCAGGTCATTATTACTTGGTGACAGATGAGTGGAGCAGCGGGACAGCAGGAATTTATCGAGCCCCCACTGTGTGCCAATCCTGGGGCTAACGACAGAGAAATATGTAGCTTGATCTTTGCCCTCCACGTGTATGTATTTCCCCTGAGAGACAAGGCACATGTAACACATACACACACACACACACACACACACACACACGTACGTGCTGAGTCATGGACTGCTGCGTTCCACCTGCCGTTAGGTTAACCACATTCTCTTGAGTGACCCACGGTGGGAAGTGGGGATGCCGCCTGTGTGCCAGCTGACTCACAGGTGGTATCTCCCTAATCCCGACCTCAGCAGCAGTCATAGTTCTGTCTGACAGGTGAGGAAACTGAGGCAGAGACAGGTGAAGGGACACACCTGAGATCAAATAGCTTGGGATTTTTAAGGTTGGGCTGACTCTGACTCCAAGCCCAGTGTTCTCCTGACTTAATCCTGTACCTCAAGTTCACACCCAGTAAACAGCCTCTACCCACCGGGCCCAAGGTGGGAACACTTTGAACTTCATTCAATTTTCACATCAGGGCTCTTGCATTGTCTACATTTTCCAGTGGGAAAGCTGAGATTTCATCTGGGTCTGTCTTGCTCTGAATCAGTGGTTCCTATGCCTGGTTGCTGGGCCCAGGATCCCCTGAAGACCCTTTTGAAAAAGGTAAATTGCTTGGCCTCCCTAGCCCCAGCCATTGTTTTTTTTTTTTTTAATTCATGTGTTCAAGAACTGGGCTCTAGGCCAGAGGTGCAGGGGGTAAGAGGGTTCACTAGAGCACAGTCAGGAGCAGGACAGGTAGATCAACTGAAATACACTGCTGAGAGAAGCAGAAGGCAAGACAGGGGAGGTCTGCTGCGTCATGTGGGTCAGCACCCTGGCCGGGGATTAAACTCATGCTGCAGTGGCTGGTGATAGCTTGATAGTGCTGAGACTTTAATCCCTGTGCCACCAGGGAGGCCCTAGCCCCAGCCATTCTAACACAATTTAGTGGGGGTGGGGGCATGACTTTCATTAGGAAGGGTGGGGCCTGTACTCACAGATGTGAAGATGCCAGGTTGGTCTGATGAGCTCTGCCTGGCTTCCTGCCATGGGTCTTTTCCCCTGCTCTGTTCACCTTTGACCTGTCTGACACACCCACTGGGAACCCAGCAGTTTCCATCAGACCCTGGCACAGGGACCCTGCAAGGGCTTTTTAGGCATTTACCACTGAGTTTGTTTCTGCCTATCTGGGGAACACGATGGCTCCCCAGCAGACTCGAGGCACCCTCTGCTTGTTCGGGTACATCTGTAATAGGTCTGGGCACTTCCTAGGGAAGTAGGACCACCCCTATGAAGTAACACCTTTAGCCCCATTTTACAGATGAGCAAACTGAGGCTTAGTGTGTATAAGGAAATTGCCAACATTATGTTACTGGTAAGTGGTAGAACTGGAGGGAGACCGCACTGTGTCTGATGCAAAGCCTGTCCTCTTAACCTCTGTCCCCTCTTGGCAAGGAGGAGAGGAGCTGGAAATGACTATGGTGCATTGAAGTGATGATTTCCTTATGTGGGTGCCACTTACTCCTTTTATTTCCTTTTATGTTCATCTCCTTTTCCTGTTTATGGACTGCGTATAAAAAATTTCCTTTTCCATGTTAACAGATTTGGAAACTGAGGCCCAGCAATAAGTTAGAAATCCCCACTGTCCCCTTGCTTGCTGGGGATAGAACAGTCCATTGGAAGAGCCCAGCCCCCCAGCGCCCCTACAGAGTTAGGCTCACAAGTGGCTGGCCTGGCCGGGAGGCAGCACTCGGGGCCTGCGGCCTGACATACTGGTGCTGGCTGATGGATCCTTCTCTTTCCTGTTTTCCAGGATCCTATGAGTGTGGAATCTGTGGCAAGAAGTACAAGTATTACAACTGCTTCCAGACCCATGTACGGGCACACCGAGGTGAGTGGGGTGTCCTTAGGCAGAGCCAAAGGGCTGCTCCTTCCTCTTTTTTTGTCCGTCTGTGCCACTGGCGCCCCTCCCAGGTGACCCCTGAGGTCTTTAGAGATCCAGTTTTTTCCTGTCTCCTTTCGCAGTCTCCTCCCTGCTCCTTTAGTGGGGGCAGGAGGAGAAAATGGGAGAGGAGACCACCTGGTCTGCTGTAGACTCTGCTCTCCGGTGCCCCTGCCTGCCCTGTCCTCGGTACTGCCAGCTTTTTGCAGCCGTTGCAGGGAAGGTCTCGTGTGCCATCTCTGCTCCTCATGCCAGCCCGGGAGGAAGGTGGGTGCTGTCTCCTACTCTGAAGATGAGGGAACAGGAGGGGCTCCCTCTGGGAGCCTAGCAGGGAGGAAGGGCACTGGGTCAGGGCCCAGCTGACAGCAACGGCACAGGGAAGGGCTGTGAGGACTCTTCAGAGGAAGAGAGTCCCTGGGCACTTTGGAGGGTGCTCTCCTCGTCATATCTTGGTTCTCTCTCTCATCCCTCTCTCTTACACACACACACCCCCCCCCCCCCCCCCGCTTCACTGGTCCAGTCTGCTCACCCCCTTCTCAACCTTTCTCTTACAGACACCGAAGCCACCTCGGGGGAGGGAGCCTCCCAAGGCAGTGAGTACTTTTCTCTCCTTGTGAATGTGGGTTCCAAGAGGGCTGGGGTGGGAAAAGAAATGCACTTCCAGCCATGCCCACCATCCTGGACTAACCCCAGACTCTCTCTGGTAAACATGTTCCTATAGTCTGGGTTTCAGGCTATTAGGATCCTTGTGAAACTGAACACGGTACCTCAAAGCAGCCTTTTCCAAAGTGTGTTCCCTGGTGTACTCATCCCAGGAAAGTTAATAGGTGTTTTGTCAAGAAAGGATTCTCTGACCAAAAAAGTTGGGGGACACTGGAGTTCTAAGCTGCAGGTTTCTTGACTGGAGGCTTCTCATGACTCTTCATTGGTAATCAGACCTGTGCACCTCCAAGAGGGGCCTAGGATATGCCGTCTCCCCTGTCTTTTAACTGCCACTCATAGGTCTAGGGTTCCATCCCTGATGTTTGGGAAATGTCCCTCAGCACCCACAGTCACTAATCACTGGGTGATTAGCCACCAGCCAGATGTGTGTTTGGGGGGAGGGGAAACTTCTCCCCATCTAACAAACCTGAGCTCCAGAATCCGTAATTCCACTCCCAGGTGCAAACCTTACACAGCAGAAAGTGTGCCAGTGTCCAAAAGGTGTGAAAGAGAAGGATGTTCTAGCAGAGGTATTGTAGCAGCCCCCCTTCTGCAAACCTCCCCCCATCTCTGCCCTAGTTGGGTAAAGAAGTTACAGTGTTCACACAAGGGCTTTGGCGCAGCAAGACCAGGAGAGACTTAGAGCTCCACATGGCACGTGGACTAGCCACAAACTGATGTTGGCTAAAGAACCTGCCGCAATGCCTCCCTGGTGGCGCAGGGGTTAAAGACAGCACTATCAAGCTACTGCCAGCCACTGCAGCAGGAGTTCCATCCCCAGCCAGCCAGGGAGCAACCCACATGGTGCAGCAGACCTCTCCTGCCTTGCCCGCTGCTCCCCTCAGTGGTGTACTTCAGTAGATCTGCCTGTTCTGCTCCCCACTCTGTCTCTGGTGAATCCTCTCACGTCCTGCACTTCTGGCCTACTCCCCAGTTCTTGCATAAATAAACCTTCATTTATTTATTTATTTGTTTGTTTGTTTATTTATATCTTTATTTTAATTTTTTATTTTATGTAATTTTTATATCATTTTTCATCTTTGCACAATGTATGCATTTTCATTATGGTTATATTCCCCAAACAATTGCACCCCCCCCCTTATTTTGACTCTAGCCCTTCCTCCCTTCCCCCGTCCGTCCGTCCCCCGCTAAATCTTTATAAAAAAAAAAAAAAAAAAAAAAGAACCTGCCCCAGAAGTGTTCCTCCTGCAAGATCTGCACAGGGGAAGCACAGGCAGGGGGAAACGAATCCATAGGGGTCAAAGCGGAATCAGTGTTGCCCTGTGGAAGGGGCTTCTAGATTCTTCTGTTTATGCTGGTGTTTTGGGAAAATCAAACACTTAGGATCTGTACACAGGGATCAGCAGACTTTCAGTGATGGGCCAGATAGTAGATGTTTTAGACTTTGCAGGCCAGAGGCCTCAGCCACAACTGCTTGACTGCCTGGCGCGGGAGCCCAGCCAGAGACGACATGGAGGTGAAGGCCTTTCTGAGTGAGTGGCGGTGGGCGGGCAGGCAGGTGGGCCAGCCGTTGTTCACCAAACCCCATTCTGCAGGTTTTCTACACCCACGTTAAGATGTTTTAAAAATAAGAAGTCAGCATGACCAAAAAGAAAAATCAAAACAAAACAAAGCACTTTGAGGAGCCTTTGGGGGCCTTCATTGCACGGGGCCCTCAGAGCATTTCTTCCGAGGAGCTTTCCCAGCCACTCTCTCTGACTCTTACACCTGTGATAGGCAGGCAGGGCTGAGGCTATTCCTCTGTCTTCCGGGGACTCGCAGACCCAGGCTGACCAGACATCTGCCGGAGTGCCCACAACAGGAGGTGGCAAAGCCTGGCCCTTCTCTTCCGGCTCCCAGGTTCTGCCTGTGGTCAGCCACATATTTAAAGCATTTCCCTATTTGTTTTTCCTTCCTCAGCTATTCTGGCTTTCTGGCCTCCCTGGCAGTCCCTCGATGACCTGTTGTTCATCAGGCTTCCGTTGTTTTAAGAAGCCCATTTGTCCTGGAGGACTCTGTAGCCAGGGGTATTTTTAGTCCTTCCATTACCTCTCCCTTCCTTCTGGCAGGGCTTCTCCCATGATCAGTGCCCTTTATTTTATTCTCAGTCCTGCACTGCCACCTTCACCCAGGCTGGTGGTGCTGCTTGGAAAACCTGGTGTCCTTGCACTGCCAGCCTGGTTACAGGCTGGCCATGATCTGGGAGCCAGCAGGGCCCTGTTGAGAAAGGCAAGTCCAGTTTGCCCTGCCAGATGAGGGTACTGCGTTCCAGAGAGGTGTCATTCCGCTCCCGTGTGGCCACTTGGGAGGAGGAGGTGGACACGGTGGTACATTAGTCCCTCTTACCTGCAGTTTGACTTTCCATAGTTCAGTTACTCACAGTTAACTAGATCTGGAAAGACTGCATGCAGAGATAGTTTGATATTAAGAGAGAGAGTGATTATGTAACATTGTAATTGTTATAATTGTTCTGCTTTATTAGTTACTGTCATTAATCTCTTAGGGTGCCTTATTTATAAATGAGACATTATTGTAGGTATGTACATTCAGCAAGAGGTGCTGTATATGGGGTTTGGGTCTATCTATGGGTTCATGGATTGTATCCCTGGTGGATAAGGAGGGATGACTTCACCCCCAGGCGTGGAGGCGCGTACCCTCTTACCTTGTCTCTCAACTAAGAAGATAACAGATGAATTCTACATCCATTCTCTTGCTAGTTTCCCTTTGTGACATGATAATATTAGGTAACAGTTATTGAGTATTTCCCTTTATAAAATGCTAATACTCAGTAACAGTTATTAAGTATCGATTGCCTGTTAGGCCTTGTGCTCACTTACCTGTACTTCTGCTCTGGGAGAGAACAGAACTCTCCTTCCCATTTCACTGATGAGAGGACCTAGGTGTGGAGATGAGGGCGTGTGTCTGAGGTTAATTGCACTAGTCAGCAGTAGCGTTGGGTTTGAGCTCAGGCTTCCTGAAATTCCAGTGCCTGTGTCCTAAACCACATCTGCAGCGGCGTTCCTGGAGACACTGAGCTCTCCTGGGGCTCTGAGATGTTTCATAGTCAAAATACCATTCTCCTCTCCTCTGGATGATTCTCATGTTCCAATCTACACTGCCTGGAAGGGTCTGGCTCATGAGAGGTAGAAGTGGTGGGAGCAGAGGTGGCTGATGGCTACTCTCATCTGTTTTCCCAAAGTTCACCTAAGTGAGGACCAGAAACCTTCCTACCGATTGCCTTCAGACTGAGGGCCACAGTTCCCCACCGACTGTTCACCAGGAACTGCCATGCAGGTCTCAGAGAGCTCACAGCTTGATGGCAAGCAAGAGAGGTGGCATGCATGAGACACACATCTTGTGGCCTGATCATGGAGTGACTTCCCAGCTCTGCTGTGTTCCATTCATTGGAAGCAAGTCCCTAGGCCCAGCCCAGACTTGAGGGGAAGGTATCCCCCAGGACATGAATGCCCAATGCGGGGATCACTGGGAGCATGCCCAAACTGCCCACCATGGGGCCTCCCAGTTGAGGTCTGGGGCAGATCCCCTTCTGCTGTACTGTTTCTTCCTGTGTGAAGTGGGAATGTTCCTCCCTCATTACAGGACTACCTGGGGAAATGCAGGTGATGCTCTCGGCCTGGCACCTCAGGGTGTGGCATCCAGGGGGTGGTAGCTGTGGTGATTGTTATTCACTAAGGAAGGTGGGGCCCCCTGCATCACACCCCATACCTGTGGGCTTAGAAGAGATACAGGGTGGGTCTGGCACGGAGACCAGACCGCTGGTTCTCTCCCAGTCCCAGCTGCAGGTGGGGGAGAAGAAAATGGGCTTTCACAGAGGGCTGTGCCACAGCTGCCGCCGTCGGGAGAGACGGGCAGTGACAGGCGCAGACTGGCTCAGGAGCCAGGTGTCCTGGGCTTCCAGGTGCGATCATTTGGGCCAGGTTGGGCTAGTCTGTGGTTTCTGAGGCACATGAGCCGGTCCAAAAAAAAGCCCACTCACATGACTGAAGCCCTGGTAACCAGGAGTGTCTTTCCATCCCACAGACAATTTCAGGTACACATGTGATATCTGTGGGAAGAAGTACAAATACTACAGCTGTTTCCAAGAGCACCGAGACCTGCATGCAGTGGATGGTGAGTCAGGCCCCTCACTTCTTGGGGCAGGGTCACCTACAGAAACCTCCTCCCCGCAGGGCTGCTTACTAATAGCCCCCACCTGCCTCTGGTATGCTCTTCCCAGACCACGAGGGAGGGGGGTGACCACTCCTGAGAATTCTGGGGCAGGCAAGGTCCCCTTTATTCACTGTGTGCTCTTCTGATCAGCATGACCCAAGTGACATTGCCTTTTTTGTAGGTCAGAATCAGTTGAGTTCAGCAATTTCATATCAATTCATTTTACAATTTCATATTAAGTATTTGCATGATCTTGTGAAATTAAACCAATTTTTAAAATGAATGATGGTATTTTAGCATCTTAGATTATAGAGTTAGAAATTAGAATAATAAATTTAGATAATATATTTTAAAATCTCAGAAACCCTACATTTAGAGTTTTTTATACCTGGAAAGGATCTTGGGGGTCTCCCTCTCTAGGCTCACATCCTCAGCCTGTCTCCCGCTGTGACAATCTCCTATTCCACAGGCTTGTGCTGCCTCTCATCTTCCCCCCATTCCACACTGCCCCCCCAGTCTTCCTCTCCTCTGTGCTCCTCCCCTTTCCTCCTGCCCTCTCCCCCCAAGTGGGTGCTGGTGATCCAGACATGATCAGGCAGGGGTGTGTGTCCCCAGGGTGGCCCCTGTCTCTGGGGAGGATGAATGATGGCCACACAGGCTTCATCCTGGTTGGCGTGCACCCTTCTGTGGCCCCGAGTTTTTTGGGGTTTCCAAGCTCACCAAGGCAGCCCCCCGGTTCCTAAAGGCAACCTATTGGGACAGAGGCGGGAGCGTCGGGCAGAGGTAGCTGTGGGCTGGGACTAACAGGGCTCCTGTTTGCTTCTTTCCTTCTGCGGCTGCCGCCTCCCGCCTGGGCGCAGTGTTTAGTGTGGAAGGGGCCCCCGAAAATCGGGCAGGTAAGTCCTCAGTGACTGCCCACCTTCCTAAACCTGGGCTGGACTCCTGAGACCTGTTTACCTGGATGCTAAGGGCCGTTTGTTCTCCCACAGACCCCTTTGACCAAGGTGTGGTGGCCGCTGACGAGGTGAAGGAGGAACCCCCGGAGCCATTCCAGAAAATTGGGCCAAGTATGCGGGCCTCTCCCTGGGGCTGGGACTGGGTGGGAGGCAGGTAGGGGCTGGTGGAGGGCACAGGGTCAGTCCCGCTGCTGGAAAGGGGCTGCATTGCTCATCCCGCAGTGACAGCAATAGCCAGTGAGCAGTTGGCCTTCTTGTACCTCCCTTTGCCCCCTGTCAAATGGGCCCATCTGTCTTCAGATTTAGCTTCTGAGGAGTGGTAGGACAGCTCAGGTCACGGTCAGGGCAGTGAAGGCTGACAGCCTGGTGTTGAGTGCCAGCTCTACTCCTTACATGCCCGGCAGTCTGTTAGCCATCCTGAGCCTCGGCTCCTCACTTGTGGAATGAGGGTGCCATTTCCCTGCAGGTTTGTTGGGGGATTAAATGAGATCATGGATATAAACCACCTTTAGCACAGTGCCTGGTACATTGTCGTTATCATCTGAAGGGCCCGTCTGCAGAGAAAGCTGCCCGGGGCAGGAAGCAGGAGATGTGACACACTGGAAGAGGGTTAGCACGCTTGTCATTTGCACAGGGAGCACCTAATAAATAGTGGCATTGAAGTCATCTTAAAGATGAAGAAAAAGATGACATCCTCAGTACTCAGACTGTTAGAAGTTAGACTGTGGGGAAACCCATATGGCAATCAGACATGTTCTCTGAAGGACCTCTTAGACGGATGCAGGGATGGAACAGGGGTTCCTGACTCCCTTCTTCAGCAGCCCTGGCAGAGCACTGTCCTTCCATCTGTGGCCTCATAATTATGAAAATATGCTTTGGAGTCAAACAGACCTGGGTTTGAATGCGGTATCACCAGTTTACTAGCTACGTACCCACTCTGAGTGTCCTTTGTCTCACCTGTACATTGGGGACAAGGGCATCTGTCGCTCCTACAGGGCTGCTGGAGGATGCATGCATGAAGTGCCCAGGTTGGCACCTGCCCCCTAGTCAGGGCAAACACCTGAGCCATATTGGCGAGAGAGAGTCTGGAGTGAGAGCAAGCTCTCTCTCTTGCCATCCTGATACAAACCCCAGCTCCACACTTAATTCCTGTGTGACATCCTACAAGTCTTATCATTTCTCTAATCCCAGTTTCCTCAACTCTAAAAAGGGGGTGGAGGTGATAAAACACCTCTCAGGATTGTCATGGAGATTAGATTGTATTTATAAAGGAATTAGTGTAGTCTTGACACTTACATGGAAAGCCTGAAATAAGTTGTACTTATTAATTACCCAGGAAGATGCAGAACAAGAGGAAACTTGTCCTTTACATCAGTAACTAAGTCTGACAGACAGCTGATGTGAGGACCTGGGAGGAGTCATCACAAATTGTAAGGAGTAGGGAATTGCATTGAGAAAAGTGAAGTGAGTTTGGCTCCCCGCTTGCCCCAGCTTGATGCTCTGAACTGAGAGCACCCTAAACATCAACTTAGGGTAGTGTGAGGCTTACCACTCAGGAATCACTTTGGAAGATAAGAAAGCTGCTGCTTGAGCTTCTGCCCTTGTAAACAGGACAATGCCATGGTACCCTAAATAACTGTGCATAGACTAAGGGGAGCCAGTAGAGGCACGGGGCACCGTGGAGGGACCAGTTGTCACAGGAAGAGCTCTGTGCATGCTGGAAAGTACGTCTTCAGCAAATTAGAGAAACAGGTTGTTTTGGAGAGGGGTGAGGGAAGAGGAGGAGCAAACAGGAAGAGGAGGGAAGAAGAGAAGGATGCAGGAACCCTGGCAGAGCAGGGGAAATCCTACTGCTCTGGAGGATTTTGGTGTAAGGGCCCTGTGTTTCAGTTTGCTCTACACCTGCAGATCTGGGAGGTACTACTGTGGTAATGGTCTGTCTACCGTGATAATTCCTGCCATGGTAATGGGAAGATTGAGGCCAAATCATTCATGTCTATTGAAACTGAGTAAGTGTGGGTATATTTTCAGGTTACTTGATTTTTATCCCTGGATAAGGAAGGAAAACTTGAAAAAATGAAAAACATGGGCACTATGAAAATTCTGTGTAACACAAGAAAAAAGAGAATTTAGGAGAATCAGGAAGCACGTACCTGTGAAAATGATCTACTGCAGCATCCAGGAAATTCTGTTTAGCAACCACAATTGCATATAAGAAAATAGGACTTATTTCAGTCAGCTTTAGCTGCCATAATTAAATTCCACATAGTGGGTGACTTACACAGCAGAACTTATTTTCTCACAGTTCCAGAGACTGGAAGCCCAAAACCAGGATGCCAACATGGTTGGGTTCTGGTGATGACTCTCCTCCTGGCCTGGGAGTGTCCCCACATGGGGGAGACTGAGAATAAGCTCTTTGGTGTCTCATCCATAATGGCCATCCTTACGACCTCATCTAAACCTGACTACCTCCCATAGGCCTTACTTCTAGATACCATCACTTTGGGAGATAAGAAAGTAACATCTGAATTTGGGGGTGATTCATTTCAGTCTATACCATAACCCCTATGAAAAAGCAGCAGCCTGGAGTTGTTTGTTGAAAAAAGCAACAGGATAGGGCCTCTGGCGCAGCAGTTGAGCACTGGGTTGCGAAGCTGCCCACAGCCTCCACAGTGCTGGTTCGATCCCCGGCCACCGGGTGAGGGTCCCACATGGCGCGCAGACCTCTCTTGCCGCCTGCTGCTCCCCTCAGCAGTGTACTTCAGTCTGTCTGCTCTGCTCCCCGCTCTGGCTCTGGTGAATTCTCTCACCCTCCCGCGCTTCTGACTGTACCCAGTGCTTGTATAAATAAATAAATCTTTAAAAAAAAAAAAAAAAAGCAACAGGATAAAAGGAAAAGACAGAGAGGTGAGAATGACAGTTGCAAAGAAGTAGGAAATATGAAGACAGAATTTGAACCTAGTTGTAGATTGTAAAGAGCTGAATCAACCTGCAGAAATGGAATTCATGAACTGAAGGACAATCTTGAACAGATGAAGACAGAGAAAAATGTGATACCAGTGAGAATGGTGAACCAGTTCCAGATAATTGATGGTACTAAACTAGCGGGGCGGAAGCAATACCCCCAGGATATAATAGAAGAAAAATTTGCCCTGCTAAAAGGAAGACCTTAATGTGTATAGTAAAAGACTCATCATATGTCAGGTAGAGTCAGTGTAAAGAGACCCATAACTACATAGATCTTACTGATGTTTTAAAACTGTAAATACAACGGGGAAAAACTCTGTTAGCATCTGGTCATAAAAAAGCTGGTTGTGTACAAACGTACCCAGCGTGGCCTTGCATCAGACTTCTCTGCAATCCTAAATCCAGAATATAATTGGAGAAGCTTTGAAGGGAAAAAGTTGTACTTTAGGAGTTTCATATCTAAGCAAATTGTGGTCTGTGCATTAATTTTGTACTATTTCTCCTGTGTATATATACATCATCAAAAAATTACTTGGAGGTATACAACTGAGTGGTAAAGTGTTTGTAAGGACTCAGTTATGAGGAATTTATTGCACAGGATGACTTGTGAATATCAAGACTAGATAAGGTAGGAGTAAGTTTAAAATGTTGCAAATCTGATTATAAAATTGAATGTAAGGGACTGATTACTGTCAAAAAATTTTTTAAGCAGTAAGGAAAAAATAGGTGAAGGATACAGTAAAGTAGATTAAATCAGCCCTCCTGTGGTCCTCAGACCAGCAGCTTCAGTATCTCCTGGAAGCTTATTATAAATGGACATCCTTAGGGCCTCCCTAGTGGTGCAGGTGGTTGAGCGCAGTGCTGTGAAGCTGTTCGCAGCCTCTGCAGTGCCGGTTCGATCCCCGCCGGCCTTGGAGCAACCCACATGGCGAGCAGACCTTTCCTGTCTCGCCCACTGCTCCCCTCAGCAGGGTATTTCATCAGTCTGACTGTTCCGTTCCCCACTCTGTCTCTGGTGAATCCTCTCACCCTCCCGCACATCTGGACTATACCCCGGCTCTTGTATTTTAAAAAAAAAAAAAGACATCCTTAGGCTGCATGCCAGACTTAGAGAATCTCAGTCTCAGGGCTTGCAACCCAGCCATCTGTCCAGTCTTTCTGGATCATTCTTACACAGTTGCCCTTTTGAATTGCATGGGTCTGCTTACTTATGACTTTTCTTATAAATAGAAGTTGTTCTTATGTTGTTGATAAATATGGTATGGTACTAGAAATGTAGTGTGTGTTCCTTATATTCTAAATAACATTTTCTTTTCTCTAATTTCCCTTATTGTGTGATTACAGTATATAATAGATCAGACATCCAAATTATGTGTCAATTGATGGTTTATGTTATCAGTAAGGCTTCTGGCCAACAGCAGGCTATTAGAATAATTACGTTTTGGGGGAGTCAGAAGTTATAGGATGATTTTTGGCTATTCTGGGGGTCAGCACCTCCATTTTCCCCATGTTGTTCAAGGGTCAACTGTACATGCTAAAATTTAAAAAGCATGAGTTAAATTACTTTTCTCATTGGTAATAGACTTGAAAATACCATTTTCTGCTTGACTGTAACAATTAGAGCAATACGTCTTATAGACCGTCAAATACAATGGAGAATATTGGAAAATAATGAAAACAAAAAAAGGAGTTCACATTTCAAACAACTATAATGCTAAAGGAATAAACCAGAAAGGGTGGGTTATGAAAAAAAAATGTAAAACTAAGTCAGTTGTAGCAATAAAAGTAAATGGCATGATCTCTTTTATTAGAAAACAAAGATTCCTAGGTTAATTTAAAATAATCCAATTACTAATGCTTTATTAGAGACCTATATAGTTAATTTCTTATCTTTTACCCTGAATTTGAACTTCTTAAGGAACTCTTTCTTTCCTGCTTCCTTAACTAAATTGAATTTCCTGTTAAGATTTTCAGAGCCCTGGGAATGTCTCTGTAAAAGCACCTATCGTGATTACAGTTTTAAATTGGTTGGTGTGATTATTTGAGTTTTCTCTCTCCTTTTCTAGACTGTTTGCTCCTTGAAGGCAGGAAGGTTGGCTGTTTTTTAGGCTCAACATTTTGTGCCAGTGTTTAGCACAGTATCTGTTTAATGAATGAAAGTGCAAGAAAATTTAGGGAAATGTCTTTAGGCACATACAAACAAGTAGAAAGGAAGACCTGAAAAGTAATTATCAAGAGTTAATAATATTAATGCCAGATGAGCTTTTATTAGTTCATCTAATAATTAAATGTTAGAGCAGTGGTTCTTAAGCTTTCCTGTGCCTCAGAATTTTCTAGGGGGGCTATTAAGCACAGATTGCGGAATTCCATTCCTACAGTTTTTCTTCCATTATGTCCTGGGTGAGTCTGGAGATTCTGGATTGCACACAGCTAATAGGTACCGAGGTATGTCACTGGTTCTAGCCTGGAAAGATACTCTGAGAAGCACTGAGTTAGAATATCATGTCATGTTAATAAATGGTTCAGTTCACGGTAAGGATTCTGACCTCATGAGCCTATATGCAGCAAACAACATCATATCTAAACACTCAAAGAAAATGTAGGAATACAATGAAATAGAAGGATCTATCATAACATTTAGTCGTTGACAGAGCAAATAAATGCCCACCATTATATTGGGGTTGAATCATATAATTAATACAGGTGATCTAGCAACTTGGAAGCCTATAATAAATAATACATCATTTAATAACAGAAAATAATATATCTCTTCTAGTGTTCATGAATCAGAGATAGCCATTATTTAACTAACAAAGATTTTAAAGCTTCTTTATTGAGAAAAACATAAACAGGTTAAGCTCCCAATTGAGACAAAAATACTTTAACATATCAAACAAAATGTTGATGCCCTTAATCTACAGAGTTCTTAGCAATTTGAAAATATATAGCTCTATAATAAAATATATAATATTATAATATAAAATATAGTTGTGGCAACACTGTGAGTACAAAAACCATAATTAATTAAACATGAAAAATAGTCAGTTTCCTTAGAACTAGGAAGAAATGAGAAGTAAAACTGGCAATATAGTTTCCCCAATCAGGCACAATTTACAAAGATGATAATATTTAATGCTGGCTACTGTGTATGGAAACAAGTCATTTTCACACTTTTCTAATTGGGATGAAAATTGGCCCAACCTTTTAATAGGAAGTCGGTGCTATAGCTTAAAAATGCATGCCATTAATTTATCCTGAGGAACTAATGTACAGACATTATACACGATAATCTTTATTTTGCAATGAAGTGCAAAAAATGATACACAGATGAGTAAAAATGTCTACAAGTATATGGATCGCAGCATCTCTTTTTAATAAAGGAAAAAAATTGGAAACAATCTAAATGTCCCCTGGAACAGGAGACTGACTCAGCAAATTCCAAAGTCCGGTAGGAATGCTGCAGCCAATAAATGCAGTGGAGATCAATGACTATTGATTGTGCAAGATGTCCACAAAATGTTGTCCATTGAATGTACCAGGCTACAAAGAGGCGATAGATCAGGGCTGGCTAATTTAAGGCCTGCGGGAGCCAGACAAATGATGTCAGTGAGAGAAGTCTTCCCCAGAAGAGGTGGAATAGGGGTGGGGTCTGACCCCAAGGGCCAAGTGGCAAAATGCAAACTCTCCCCAGGAGATAGCTGTTGCTCTTTGCTTGGGGATTACAGATGATTGAAATTTCTCTTACTTTTAAACTTTTGTATTTGTATTTATCAGTATTTTATAATTTTCCCCCAGTGAACAATATTACATCAGAAATTTTTAAGAAGAAAGAAGTTAGGCAGTGCCAAAAGAGAGGTAAACTCTGGTGGGACTTTAGAAGAAGTGACCCTTTTTGCTCGGGGGATGGAGGGTGCTTGGGGATAGGGAAGGTCCGGGAGACGCAGGAGCAGCCATTGCAGAGAGCGGGGCTTACAATAGGGGCTGACAGAGGTTGGCCTTGGAGGTCACCTCGGGTCACTGCACATTTCCTGAGCACTGAGCCCTGGGGGTGGAGCAATGAAGGAGAACAGTGTGTGCCAGGTACTGTTCTAAGCACTTGACATAGAAATTTAATCCTCACAGCAATCCTACCAAGTGGTCCTTTTATTTCCCCTATTTTACAGATAGGAAAGCTGAGGCACAGAAAGGTTAAGAGGTTTGCCCAAGTGGCGAAGCTGGGATTTGAACCCAGGCATTCTGACAGAAGTGGGTTCCTGGTTCTAGTTGGTGGTCCCAGAATGGGGAGGAGTTGGGGTCGGGGAGCATGCTGCTGCTCTGAAATGGACTCCAGGCGCCATTCCCACTCTTTGCTCTCCTTCTTGGACAGAAACCGGCAATTACACCTGTGAATTCTGCGGAAAGCAGTACAAGTACTACACTCCCTACCAGGAGCACGTGGCCTTACACGCCCCCATCAGTGAGTACCTTCTCTGGGTGGTGGATGGGGTTGTGGGGAGAGGTGGAAGGTTCTGGAGATTTGCCGGGAGGAGGTGAGAGCACAGGAGAGCCGGGGTAGGCCAGTCTCTAGGAGTTGAGGTCTGACTGGGGTTGGGGGCCCTTCTTGTGTCAGCTGGAGTATCTGGGAGAACCCTGCCTTGGAGCCAGGAAAAGCCTGATTCCTCCTTCAGAGGGCAAGAGGCCTAGCGCCCATGTGGATTTGGGGTTAGGGTAGATATCACTTGTCCAAGTCTTTTAATGACCCTATCTCCACCCCCCCCACTAAGCACCTTCAAATCACCTGGTTCCTGAGGCCACCCCACAAAACCAGCACTGTGAGATACGCTTCATTCTCAGCCAGTCAGGCCCTCACCCAGGCCAGGCGCTGGTCAGCTAGACAAGACATCCTTTCTTTGTTGGTGGTGAAAAGGATAAAAAATTAGAAGGAGTACCAAGTTGGGACTCAGATGTTAACCCCAAGGGGGTTGTAGGCTTGCATGTGACCTTAGGGAGACCCCATCCTGTCTCTGGGCCCCAATCTTTCCCTCATCCCCTGACCAGAAAGGGAAAAGGTTCTAAGTTCCTTCCCATCTCCAGGCCTCCAGGCCTTCATTCTCCTGCTCCCACAGATTTCCCCACTCCCTTTCTGGATGTTGGAGGCATGTCCATCCTTAGGTCCCCAAGTGAATGAGCTAGGAGACCCCTCACTTCACACCTGAAGTTCTGACAGGGTGGGACTGAACCAGAGTTGCGATTGCAGAGGGGTTTAAGAGAGTGTCCCTGCTTTCGTGTCTCACAGCAGAGCTATTGGGATCCTTCTTCGCAATCTATAGATGGGAAGACAGGTCCAGAGATTGGGGGTAGGGGGCATCACACAGGGTCTTTGGGGCTTTAAGCTATCTGCTGGGTGGAGCCAAGGCAGCACATGCAGGTGTGACTCCCCCCCACCCCCCACCCCCACCACCTCCAGGGACATCCAGGTGGCCAGGGAGAGGTGGCCACAACTCAGAACTGGTGCAGGCAGCTTCCCCAGAATTCCTCCCTGCACTCTGCCAGGGACTGAGGAATCACCCCATGCGTAAGAGCTCCTGACTGCCTTGTGACCCTGTGCCTGTCCCTCTGGACTCAGGTTTCCCATTTTATGGGAGCTCTTGATGTTTTTCCAGCCCAGGGGTCCAAAATCCAGACATCTCCAGCATAAAGCAGGCATCTAGAGTGTCCCAGCTGGAGGTATCCATCCCACCACCCAGGCTGGGGATGTATGGGTCCTCCAGTGCCTACCACATAGCTGGGTTCTGTGTGGGGCAGCTGGGTGAATGCTGGCTAATAGTTCTGAGCTATCAGGGCAATGGCTGTGCCAGGCTCCTCGACCCAGGACCCTCTGGGAATCCCACTTTCCCAGGTAGCCAACGGGCCAGCTGTGTGTGTTACCTTGCTCCTGAGCTCTCCAGTGAAGCAGCCATTGCCCTGCTACCTATTGCCCAGAGGAGTGCTACCCAGAGTGTACTTAACAGGTGTCAGTTATGAGGCCAGCCCGTAGCCTTGGTTTCAGATACCTTCAGTGCAGCTTCTGCTTTTCCCCCACATGGCCCTTCCTGGAACAAGCCAGGTGATAGAGTTAACAGGAAAGGGAGGTTGGCCTTGAAGCTGGTAGGCAAGCTCCAGGTTCATACTCTTACCATGAAGCTATCCTGATCAAAGCAGATGGTACAGCAGAGGGATGCATCATTTGCACCCTGATTTCTTCATAAGCATCTAGGTGCTTTTTCACTGAAGAGCTGTGCACTGTTCCTTTTTCTCATTTTCTTGTTTCTCTCTATTGTGGACTCATCTTGCTTTATCTTTCTGCATCTGTTTGTTGAATGAATCTCTCTTCTCTATTTCTTGCTGAAATTTGGGCACCCTTGGATCATCTGGCAAACCAGTGGGCTTTTATCCAGAGATTCGTGGGTCAGTGGGTTCTGTGTGGAATCAGACCCTGGACTTGCTGGCTCCAGCAAGTAGTACCAGTCCATGCCGTGGGAGACCTTGGGTCTGCAGAAAGTATCCAGAAGGTTCTAGGCTAATGGCTGAAGTTTTTCCGAGTGGAGATGTCACCCTTTGGGTCTGCTGCTTTCACTCAGCAGAATGTTTTAAGACTCAAACATTGTGTATATCATTTGTTCTTTTTTTACTGCTGAGCACTATTCCGTTATAGGAAAACACCATAGTTTGTTTAGCCATTTGTTACTTTGAGTTGTTTTCAGGTTTTGACTATTAGGAATAAAGCTACTATGACAATGCTTGTATGAGGCTTTTTGTGGGCATATGTGTTCATTTTTCTTGCACATAAATACCAAAGAGTAGTATTGTTAGGTCACAGGGGAGAGTTTAACTTTTAAGAACTGATGAGGCATTTTCCTAAATGGTTGTAGCATCTTCCACTCCCACCAACCATATTTGGGAGTTTCATGTGTTCCACCTTCTAACCACATTCTAGCCATATTTGTGGCACCAGGCTGTGTAATTCTAGCTCTTCCGGTGAATGTGTCCTCCTGTCATGTTAATTTGTGTTTTCCTGATGACTAATGATATTGAGCACTTTGCTATTTGCTTATTTAGCATTTGTATATTTTACTTTGGAAATTGTCTCCCCCCCCCCCCCCGCCCTTTTTTTTTTTTTGGTATCGGTTGCCTATTATTTTTTTTTTAGAATCCTTTTTTTTGAGCATTTTAAATTTTATTTTTATATTCCCCATACAATTGCAACACCCTCATTTTGACCCCAATCCCTCCTTTCCCTCCTCCCCACCCCCCATAGTGTGTCTCTGGTTCATAGTTGTTTGTTGATTTTGATTTTTTTCTTTCTTATAGTTATTCATTTTCCTGGTCCCTTATTTAAGTTTTCTAGATTCCTGCTATGAGTGAGACCATCCAGTATTTTTCTTTTTCTTTCTGGCTTATTTCGCTAAGCATGATCCCTTCCAGTGGGGAAAAAGGTACTCTCCTGCACAGCTGGTGGAAGTGCAAACTGGTCTGACCACTATGGAAAGCTGTGTGGAGATTCCTCAACCTACTAAAGATAGAGCTCCCATATGGATTGTCTATTATTAAGTTGTAGAGGTTTATTATATATTATAGATTCAACTTTTCAATGTAGGGAGGGGTGGGTGGGTAGCTTGATGGATGGATGGATGGATGGATAGTTGATAGATAGATACCTAATTTATAATTTTTTCCTGTTGTTTGTGCTTTCTGGTTCCTCCTCAAGATATCTTTACCTACCTCAGGCTGGTGAAAATATTCTTTATTATCTTTAGAATGAAAGGTTCGGCGCGGTAAAGAAAAGGAGAGCCAGGCTACATTTCTCAAAGGGAGGGAAAGTTTATTGCGCCCCGGGCGGACCTCACAGACCCAAGGCGGGGGTCAGTGGAGTCGCGCACGTTGTTAGGGGGAAGCAGGGTTTTATAGGGTGAGGAGAGGTCAGGTGGGTAGTTGGGCTCCTACGGCGGGAAAAGTTTGTAGGGCAGGTAGAGGTTCTTTGTCTGAGACGAGACTCCTAGGGGGGAGGGGGAGGCTCATTGTCTGAGTCCTCCTGGCAGGTATCCGCATTCCTGCCCCCCAGGTGGGCTTCCTGGTTGGCTCCTGCATTCCGGCCCCCTGCATGGACCTTTCATAGAAGTCTTATAATTTTAATTTTTGCATTTAGGTCAGTGAACCATTTCAACTTAACTTTTGTGAATGATGAGAGATATTATTAGATATTGGAAATGATGTCTTGAGCTAATCCCATACAGGCTTTGTGGACCCCACCCTCACTTCAGACTAAAGCCATCAAGACAATTGGGAAAGACAAATCCCGTCACCACCAAAGGGAGGGTGGCTGGGACCTGAGGGTGGAGTTGGGCAGCCAGGTTGGATATAAAAACCAAACACATGGGTCTTGGGGGGCTTGCTATCGCTCGCCTCCTGGCTTCACGGCTCCTGGCTGGCGGCCAGCTCTCAGAGTGCCATTTTGGGATTCCTGATCGGCGGATCGGGTAGGAGTCATTTAAAACTTTGTCTCCCACTTTTCTCTCTGATCTGTACATTTTCTCATTTCCCCTTCCCTTGTAAATAAACCTTTTATTAACCTTTCCCGTGTGCCTGCAGTAGAGCATTGATAAGTCCTTTTAAGCGCATGGGTGAGGACCCATAGTCAGGCACCCCGTTTTGTATCAGGGTTGCTCTACAACAATATTGTTATAGGACAGGGAGAGGGGCAGCCCAAACCCCGCAAACCTGCCTATTCTACATGGGTTCTGCCATCCGCCGCATCAACACAAAACATAGGAGACTTTAATGGGAAGGAACTTTAATAAAACTAGGAAACAATACAGGTAAGGCAAAGAGTCTAGTTTCTAAATCAAGCACCCAAAGTGACCCGTCCCCTTGTGGGTAAAAGTCCATCCAAATGGGATTGGCCCAGAACAAGGCCCCAAAGCCTGCTACAAGTCTAAAGCATCTTCCAGTGGGGACCCACAGAAAAGGGTCACAAACAACCAGACAAGCCCGGAAGGAAAAGAGCAAAATCAACATCAAGATAAAAGCTGCCATGGTCACCTCCCCACAGGTCTCACCCACATCTGTGTCACCCAGTCCACGACCAAAAGACAAGCACAGTTTCTTTACGTGTCTCTAGGCTCCATGCGCCTCTTCCAGGTCTCCTGGCTCCATCCTCCTTCCTTCCTCAGTCTCTTCTGCAGCTTCTCCTCTTCCTGCTCAGCTCCACCCTTCCTTGGGTGGGGCAGGGAACCTGGAACCTCCCCCTTTCCTGGGGACCACCCTGTTACAATATGAGTTAAGAAGATTCATTGTAGGGCCTCCCCGATGGCGCAGCGGTTGAGCGCTGGGTTGCTAAGCTGCCCGCAGCCTCTGCAGCGCTGGTTCGATCCCCGGCTGCTCCCCGGCCGCCGGGCGAGGGTCCCGCATGGCGCGCAGATCTCTCCTGCCGCCCGCTGC